GATAAAATGTAGGTACAGAATGATGTTCGCCAGTGAGGAGTGATAAAAGCAAACAAGAATATAAGGAAGTCGCGCTGCAAAAACTTCCGCTCTCATTTCAGAACTGCTACGACCGGAACATTTTCGATCTCGCTAAACAGTCCGTATTTTGATGAATGTTAGATGCACTAAAAAAAGAAGGCTGAACGTCGATATCTGATCGCTAGTGAGGGGAAACCAGGAGTTTGGTAGCATATTGAAAAACAAAAGTTCTATAATGTTCATGCTGTAATGCGCGCAAAGATGTCATCCAAACGGTCTTTAAACATATTCATTAATCGTATCGGCAAACATTACAGGACTACAAATACGAATTAACAGGAAATCCGATGTTGAATCTATGAAGTAAATACCATATTTGCTGTGCTGTAGCAGAAAAACAACTATGACAACGTATCACAAACATTTGAATATTTAATAACAAGAAGAATGAGAAGATTGTGCAGCACCCGTCTCAACTCCTAGTCCCACACACAATTAGTGCAGTGATCGAACAAGACTGTTATACAGCGATTGATGCCTGTAGTTGAAGCAACTTCGATGTGATATGCTGAGGGAATTTGTAGTTGACTGTGGCAGCATATATGACGATAGCTTTCACCTGAATATTAAGAGGATAATCCACAAGTCACATCTACGGGAGAGGGGCAGGAAAAGACCCTTTTCTTCCTCGACTTTCAAGGCGACATAAGTTACACTTTATAAATTCTGATTGGACATTTCCACCATCAAATTCAACAACACATTGCACACGATCACGAAACTCCGCCACAGCCTTCTGGACGAACGCCATCGAGAGATTCTGCCACGCGACCGTGATTCGGTGCCTGAGTTCAGCGAGGTCGTTGATTTCTCCGCCACTGTAGACCACCCTGTTGAGCTCCGCTCGAACCCGGTAATCGAGGGGGTTTAGGTCAGGTGACACACTTGGATATTCCGTCTTCTTCGGCTCAACGCCCTTCCATTCCAAGTAGGCGAGAGTTTTCCAACGCCCTTCGATTCCATGTGGTGGCACCCAATCCTGTAGCAGTACGAAGTTTCCAAGATGGTACAGGCGACGACATGAAGGCAGGATATTCTCCTCGAGTTGGTCGATGTAACCGTCAGCGTTCACTTTCAGGGTCCACGAAGAAAATATCGGTCTTCCCATTCCAGGAACTTCCGGTCCATACCATCAACCCGCGCCTTGGCGACTGCGTGAAGATGATATCCTAGACCGTAGCGACGTTGTCGGAGCTGCTCGATGTTGAGGTCTTCAGATCAAGAGTGCCGGTCTCCAGGTAGCTGTCCATGGGTGACTCCATACAAGAAGTTTCGCAGCTGTTTGGAGGTGACGTGAATTCCATAGGCCTTCTCCAGTCAGGCTGCGATTGGAGATGACTTCATATTTTGGTGTACATGAAGGTGATGGGCGAGAGCCAGCTCCTGCTTATCGAGGAACATCTTGGGTATCTTCCGCCCTGGTACTCGTATCCACGTCCTCTGTCTGGGCTGCGAAAACTTTGCTGATATGTGACTCGGCAAGTGACTTTTTTGCCTCCCCTGTAAAGATCTCAGAGGAGCAACATAAAAAGTGATAAAAAGTGATATGCAGTACAGTGAGGTTGACGCAGTGACTGTATGATCTTGTAAATGGGGAGGCAGTTTGGCTCAACTGCAGCTTACCTGTTTAGTGTACCTAACATTTACAGTTGTAGTAGAATGAATAGCATCAACCATACAACGCATGAGGTGTAGGCAGAGATCAGGTATAACTTCTCGCACCTGCAATGGAGACTTCTGCAAATGAATCTAAGAAAAAAAAACTGAAATCTCACACTACCTTCTGTGGTATAAGATGGAACTCGCCTACAATTACCGGCACTTGCTCTGTCTCCGATGGGATTAGTCTCAACTGTTGTGAGACACTAAAAACATCAAATAAACCGCGCGGTTTTTTTGGGACATGATATAAGTTACCTCAGTGCTTTGTCTGCTAGGCCAGATTCACATAAATCTATCAAAGTACAAATGTCCAAGATAATGCACAGCGTGGACAGCACGTTTGCTCGTATATCATTCTGGGCTAAAGATTTGAAATTATCGAAAAATAAGTCAAACAATACTAAGCAAATGCTTTCGCCTCACAAAGAACTCACACGAAACAAATTCTTCAGCCAGCCGACGTAGTTCGTTCATCCTTGTTCGGTTAACCCTAGAAGGGACTAAATAATCGAACAACGAAACGCTTGCCACAAATTTCTGATTTACCTGATGGCATCGCTAAGTTCAGCACATAGCAGTTCAACTGCTTTAACAGGTGCGTCAGCTAGCATGTAGAGCTTTACTGCTTGAGTTGTATCACCTCCCAGCTCTGTATCGTGAGCGACACGGCTTATAATATAATTGCAGTCCTCTAGATACCTAGAAACGCTACTGTTCTTGAAAATTCACGAGAAAACGATGAACACAACGATCAAACAGTTTTTGCGAGCGGGTGACAAAATTTGTCGCAAACCTTCTTAGAAAAAGCATGGTTTTAATCTACACATTACATAGAAGAGTGACGGTGAAGAATACCACGACGATCATTCCTGCGTTGCCGAGCCGCACCGGCCCCACCTTGCCCCCCCCCATCGAAACTTGACAACAAATAAAACAACTACAAATTGTTGTTTGTATACAAATTTGATATTATCTCTTATGGCAGCGAAGTTATCGAGTCAAAAAAAGTCAACTGTAATTGTCATGTGTATTCATGCTGGTGCCTCGCGAGATATATAGTCCTTAGCAAGTGAATCGACGGAGCGTGTAAGTGTGACATAAATTTTGGCGCAACGACAGTTTTCCAACAGTCGTTGCCAGATGACGCGAGTAACGATTGGTGGAAAAACAGCTGGCGCCGCTTCGCACTCCACGTCATATGGGTATCTCCCTCGATTCGGTTGTTGAGGACTGTATCATGGAGTAAAAACGTGGGATTTCCAAACTTACTCATCGATCAAAGCTGGAGTACGTTTCCCATCTGGTCCAAGAGTTCCAATGATTGCATCTGCCTGACCTGTGAGGTATACTGCTCTGCTAACTGCCATTTCGAATACATCGCTACCAGTTGGGGTTTGTAAACCCTTGAAACAAAATAGATGCAAACCACCAAATCGTTACCTCAAACAAATGTAATCAATCTCACCTTTAGAAGGAACCAGTAATCTAGGGCTCTTGCAACGTCGTCTAGCTCAAACTCTTTAGTATAGGAAACCAACAAACGAGCTATGTTGAAAGAGCACTTTGTGAGTTGCACAGAATCTGTCACTACTGAAAGGAATGAAAGAAGTGAAATTGCTGATCGAAAGAGGCCTAAATTTGCAAGAGAAAGGGCAACTAACACATCTCTGCAGCGGCGTCAGCGGTGTTCCGTAAGTATCCCATTTCTCTTGTAATGATGGCAACATGCACAGCATCAGAAACATGGCCACAATCAAAGAGTAACTAGAAAACTTAACTGGACTTAAGAGCAAAAACACAAGTTGATCACGTCATGAATAGTAGGTATTAGACCCGAAGCAACTACTTTTCTGAGACCGTCGAGATTTTAACTTCGCCATCATTTAACTGGGCTAACAACTGAATAATTTAATAGAGGGAAAAGAACATCCCATGCGGTTTGTAACTAAGCCATCATGAGCTACCGTGATCAAGAAAGCTCTGCTGGTTCTCAACAATCGCAACCATTAGTCATACCTTTATAGCCCGTTCAAACTGTCCTGAGAGCCAAAGAGCAGTAAAGTAGTAATGGAATTCAGAGGTTCCTGCCGCCATAAAGTAGGACTCTCCTGAAAAGTGTATACTTCGGAGTTTGATACACTTTATAACACTTGGCAGAGTGTTATACAGTCTTGTTCGCTGCGCATGGTGGGGCGTTTCAGGGTATGGGTTTGGCTAACGCCAACCCGTTTGTCTCTTTTTTTTTCTTTCGCTAAGCGACAAGACTGTACCATATCGTTCATATCAGTCCGTTTCCCACCAACACCAGACGCTACAACAACTGGTGGAGAACGGGCTGCGCCAAATTCAGCCTCACTGACACGCTCATCTGGAGGGAAGAAGACTGTGTACACCGCAACTTTTGTTTTCTTAAATAATCCTGAATCTAAGAAGGGTTTCGTGATAGTAATCTACATGGTGTTCACCAAATCCAGTGGCACAGATAGGACCCCGAACAGGAGAAAATACAAAAACGAAGCAAGGCGATTCTTGTGTTGACATAAGGTTTACAGAGTGTTGAAAACAAAATCGAGCTGACCGTAATCAATGGAAACGTTCTTCTGAACTTCTGCATAAAGGACCGGCGTGAGATGAGGATCAATCTTCAATGCGAACAGTTTGAACCAAAGCCAATTTTCAAGCGAGTCGGCCAGATTTGAATCTGAAACCCAACTGATGAGTACTTCACAACTTTATAATATTAGACAAAGACCTGCCTAAACATACCCATCCCCAGCAGAGCTGCGTAGAGGCCTCTTTTATACTTGTCTTTTGCGGAATTTAGATTATGCCTCCATTCCACCTTAAGCTTCTTCTTCAGCTCCACATCAAGCCTGAAATTAATGAAAAATGCAAATGAAACTAACGGTGACAATAACGACTCGATTATATCTCACTTAGCTTCCTTGCTTAGGTGATTCAGACAAGCAACAAGAACAGCAGCTTGAGGGAAGTTGGCCAAGAGCTCTAGAGCATCTTTAGCAGCAGAGAGATCGCCAGATCGCAAACAGTGGTAGGTCACCTGTGAAACATAACCGTTAACCTGACCAATTGCTCTAACTGAAACTCTTCTAGAAAATGCTGAAAGCACACCTCCCATACTGGCAGTCCTCCAACAGTTCCATCTTCGGCGAACGGATCATCAGCTCCAATCTATAGGAATCCCGTCAGAAGTGTCTCAAAGGGATGAATGACAATATGAAAAGACAATACCTTTAGGAACGCATCAACAAGTCCTCTCGTTCCAGGTATACCTCCCCGTTGTGCACGTTCAAGGTTCCTTTCCACCTGTGTATTCATGTGTTCGACAAACCTAAAAAGAAACCAGATAAAAACATCAAATGATCTCAAATTATGCGGTCACTTACAAGTTTTGTAAGTACGTGCACGCTTTTTCGATCAAAAGGCTTACAACGGTAGGATCGTCTCGCCCGCTTGGACTCTGGAAAGGAGTACAATAACTGTTGAGTAAGTTTAGTCAGAAACAAAGAATGATTGGAAAACGAAAACACTCCAAAACCCGGACGGTCCGTACCGCCTCTTCCTTTCTTTTGAAGCTAATTCAGAAGATGATCAGTCCCTTCCCGGAACTGGAGCATTCCACATCTATTCAAGATTGTAGTCGCTTTCTTGAACACGATTTGGCCTACACAGTGAGTTGCAAAGTTAGTATACTGCAAGCTCGTGCTTTTATGCTGCTATGGAAGGCTGGTATCAAGCTGACAGTAGTTGACCCTAACGGGAGACGACAGTTGATGCGTCGGCAAGTTGTTTTCGATTTTATCAAATTCGAAAATTTTGAAGACTTGAGGTGAAAGCAACAACAGCAGGGTTATGAAGGTCTTGGCAAATGCTGAGACAAACCTTTCGATCCATCAGAGCAGTCACCTCAGACCATACACCAGCTAAGGCTCCATCCGTTCCACTTTCTTTTGCTGCATCAGAGAATAGCTGGCAAATATCTTTCTGCAAAAATTCTCACACATTACTGGTCGTTTTGTCAACATTTTCATTTCAGTTTGAAAGAAATACGTTGAAATCAGTAGAAGGACAAATGCTACTACCAAACTGACAGACCTTCTTCTTGCTGTGCAGAAATTTCCTCAATTTTTCGGCGAAAACCAAATCGCGTCTGCTGGAAGCCGCATGAACAACCATCGGAAACCGGCTTGTAGGAGTAATCTGAAATCACTTGTCAAAATAATCGGTCAATCAATCAATCCAGGAAGTGCTAAGAAAGTAACCTAGAGACAGCTTGAGATAGAATTACTAAGCACTTCAATCAGAAAACTTACTCCATGATCGAAGGAGAGCAAAATGTCATTACGTTTATAAATGGAGGTGAACCCCCGCCTGTGTGTGAAATTTTTTTGCATTTTTATCAAATTTACGCCAACAAGGAAAGATCCGTTAACGAGCAGTGAGTTCTTCTAACCACATGATTATTTCCAGGGTAATTGTCAAGAGCCAGTAAAAATACGCCACGTAAAATGGGAAGACATGGGAGCGATCGGTAACTCCATAAATCACGGCCATTCGCTGAAGACATTGTCATTCGCCGAAGATTGAAGTTATAGCAGTAGCAACAGCACCCTCAAAGCTTAAAATAAGCCCGACTTTGCTACACCGAACTTGCAAATACTAAGACGTCTTACACTGTGATATACTGACCTCTGCTTTAAACAAACTGGTTGTATATGAGATGGTTGTAGATTCTAAAGCCACCTTTCATGTATGTAATTAACCGATCTTATATGATTGCCAAATCCTCATTCAGCTAAATGTGGTAAAAGTTGGGCGAAGGGTCAAGTAAAACCACATTAACTTCTCATTGGGCGTCGTGGAAGAAAAAATGAGACGGCGTGTCGCGGAGTAGATCTGGCGCCATATTCTACTATAATGATTCGCTATTAGGCGCCTTCATACTTTGCGTCAGCACCCACCAGCTTTCGAGCGTACGCCAGCGTTCACCAGCTCTAAGCAGCTTTTTCGCGGGCAGTTTTGCTCTAGCTCAGAAGTGTCCGCGAAAACACTGCTGCACGCTGGTGGACACTAGCGTTTGCTAGATCTATATCTATACTTTCCTAGGGGAAGACACTGGCGTACGCTCGAATCGCTGATGGACGCCGACGCAAAGTATAAACACAACCTTATTAGACTACTGAGGAGGCCAGAGATATACATAGAGTCGACTGCAACACAACCAACAAACCAACAACAGATAGTCTATCATGAAACTTTTCGAACAAATTGTTGTTGAAAATAAGTATTTAAGTAAGAAGGATGGGAAGGACTGCAACAACTTCCCGGCTGAACAAAGGAATACTTGGAAGAGTCGCAGATAAATACAAGGGAAATATGGGTTCATATGCGCCAGTACACCCACATACCTTTGACGACATTTTCACTGAAGGAGTTATAGATGGCTGTGGACGCGAAAGGAGTACATGGTTGAAAAAGCAGCGTTCCGTTTCCAGTCGAACACGTTCTTGGTCCACATCAATCTGGAGGCAGTCATACTGTGTGATAAAAATCGAAATTTGAATAGTGATGACTGAAATACCTCTAACTCATCGCTGGATTTTGGGGGAACTTTTGTCTCTTTGAGAGTAGGCACCGTAGGCCCAAATACCACACCTTTCTCTCCGAAGAGAAAGCTTTTCTGAATAAAAGTAAAGTGAAGCAATAACATTGGAAAGACTCAGCTGCACCTTTTCTTGAACTGCAGAGGATGAACACTAACTTCATCAGCAACAAGTTAGTAATACCTGAATAGGAACAGAGCTAGCATTTGTCTTCCATAAATGTTCACTTGCGCGGAAAATGCTGTTGAGATCTTTGTCGAAGGTTGTACCGCTGTACGGATTATCCTAAAAAATGAACAAGGACTAAATATAGAGCCTCTTAATCCGACAATGTTTGCGAGCTCCGCCATTGCCGCCATCCTTTCTTTAACCAAAATCGGGATTAACTTGCATGCAGGAATTATTCAGTACCCTGATGCGATCACGAACATGACACTCGCTTTCAGCCCTGGCGCCATTGGGCGCCACACCCTTTTTCATCAAAATTGATAAAAATTGCACAATAGGATTGTTTTAGTGCCCTCGCCACGAATACTGCATTCATTTTCCGACACCAGTGCCATTTAGCGCTCTGCCAAGACTGAGCTTCAGAGAAGGAGTGATTCCCTTCCAGCTAGGTTAAGCATTAGCAGAGCGCAGATGATCGTAGTGTCCTCCATCAGCGCCAGCGCCAGGAATGAATGTCATATTCGGGTGCCAGGATGCCAAATAACTCCCTTAAACAAATTTCCAGCGGCCTTGGTGATTCAAATTCACTGACGCTGGCTTTTGTAGCGCGGGCGCTAGGCAGCTTCGACCAAGCGGATGTGATATTCGTGTTG